GGATAAGCCAAGCTTAATATCCATATACACTTGCTATGTGCTCCTCTTCCCTACTGGATCAATATTAGCTAAGCATCTATTCTTGTAATTGATTATAGGTTGATTATAGTTTGACCCATCTTGTGATTTTGTGCCCACCTCACGATTATGATCTTTAAAACATTTTTTGAGAAATGACTTATGTGGCAGCCTACTTTCTGGACCTGTCCTGTCTTTCAAGAACTATCTCTCAAGTCATCTCTCCTATTCTTAACCTCTTTTGTTCCTTAGAATTCATTCTTCGATTTCTGAAGATAAGAACTCGGCACACAGGACATCTAGTTTAGAAGTTATATTTCTCCTGTATCAGTCCCAACTTGTAGTTCATGCCATCCCAGTGTTGCCAATGGATACAAAAGGAGGTTTTACCTGCAGGCAGCACTTGTCCTCATTCCATTTAGGAGAAGATAAGAGGAAGTAGCTAAGGGCAAGAAATAAGGAAGATGACAATCAACTCCATATCTTTTGCAATTAAGATTATAAACATGTTCCAGGAATTTCTTTGTTTCTTTTTTTTTTTTTTGTCTTTTTGAGACAGGCTCTCCCTATGCAGCTCTGACTGGTCTTGGGCTCACTTTGTAGCCCAGACTGGTTTTGAATTATGAACAATCCTCCTGCCTCAGCCTCCCACATGCTAGGATTACAGGAGCATCACCCCACACAGGGCCCTGTTCCAGGAATTTCAACCCAGAAAATTTGCAATTAGGTCTCATTAGAACTGGGCCCTATGGCACGGCTCTATCTATCATAGATAAAGACATATACAATTATATTTTCAACTCCAAGGTCTCTATTTGAATTCTTTCTTGGAACTCAGACCTATATATCTACCTTCACCTTGATGACCCAGAAGCAATACAAGCACTACAGATCTGATTCAGATTGCATTCCTTTTAGTAACATGACTCATCCATAAAAGTTCACCATTCTAGTAAGTATCTTAACACATAATTCTTGATATGATGCTCAAGTCTTCTCTCCACACACTATGTTTAATTGATAAGTTTTTCTCTGAAACATCTCCTGAATTTTCTCTTTACATCTATTTTAATTGTTCTTACTGTTGGCTGCCATAACTCTTGACCAGATGATTTAATATACTTCTAGAAACAATATTGAATATTACTTCAATATTTAACTCCTTCAAGTCCAACTCTCTCCTTAAGGACTGATCCTCTAAAAGGTAAATCTAACCAGGTGCTTTCCAACCATCTACGTACTCCTAACAACACACACAAGGCTCTGTCTCTTCAGTCTCACAGCTACTGTCTCAGTCTTATCTGCTATTGTGACAGAATACCACATACTGAGTAATTTATAAAGAGAAGAAGTTTATTTCTCATGGTTCTAGAGGATGCCCCAGCATTTGGCACAGGCCTCTGGGCTGTGTCATAACATGGTAGAAGGGCAAGTGAGCATGCAAGAGACAGAGCTGGGAGAGAAGGGAGCAAACTGGTAAGAATCCCACTCTCATGAGAACCAGTGCACTCCTCTGACAAGGCAGCAGTTCATCCATGGGGATGGAGTTATTATGACCTAACAGTTCCTTAAAGGAGCTGCTCTTAATACTGTTAAATGGCAATCAAAATTCAATATGAATAAGGGAGGGAACAGTAAAAGGATAATGCTATGGGTTGTGTCTAGATGTCCCCCTAAAATTCATGCAGTCATATGTGAGGCTTTTTAGAGCTGGCTGCATCTAGAATCTGTGAGGCTGGGATGGAGAATGGGACCCTGGGATTGATTTATAGTATGATGCTAGGATTAAGGGTGTGAGTGAGTGATACCCTCCTAAAGATGGGTGGTCTGGATAGGACAAAAGGAACAGAAAGAATGTTGCCACTTGTCACTTATCACTATCTACTTTCTGCCTACCTGCTCTGCAGTGTCCCTCTGCTGTGTATCTCGCCTTGGAACCAGTCAACTACGAATTGAAATCTCTGCAAACTGGGAGCTAAATCTTTCCTCCTTTAAGCTATATCTTTCCTCCTTTAACTTTGGGTGTTGAGTATTTTGTCAGCAAAGAAAAAAGTAACTGAGACAGCAACTACTTAAACTTTAAATTATTCATAATTCCTATTTTTATTTTCCAACTATCCTATCTTGCGCTCAACAGTTGAAAGACATAGACTCAGTGTGTTATAGGCAGAAAATACATTTATTCCTATTTTGATTCTTTTGAGTTTCTCTTAAATGCACTTAGATGAAATCTTGTTTTGACTCCTTTATTTTTCTGGGCCATTCTTAAATCATTATTCTCAAGTTTCAAATATCAAAAATTCCACTCCAATACCTCATTCAAATTAAATTTTTCTTATTCCCACACTCTGGCTTTGAGAGCTACAGGGTCTTCTTGTTTTCTTCTGGGATGTAACAATATTCTCCATTCACAATATTGTTTATGGGTTCTAGAGAATTGCTTTCACCAAAAATATTATAGGCAGCTACGTTTGTCAGAAATTAATACACAGTCAGAGAAGGACTGGGTTCTCAAGGAAATCAGTGAAAAATAAAGACACTAGAATTGTGGCTGGAGGTACATCTGAAGGCCAGCCCTCAGGATAAAGACGTGGTAGCCAGGCCTGCATGCCTCCCTAACAGATGAGCAGTAACTTGAAAGTTTACTGTAGTTAGCACCACCCCACCCAGAAGTCCAGAGAAGCATCAGCTGTGCAGGTGGGTGCCCAGAGCATCAAATCTATCCCTTCCTAAAATAATTTTGTTCTTTCCAAGCACCCTTGGTATGTGACCTGCTACCCTATTGAATCAATATTACCTCAGCAGTTGAACTTGTAATTCTTGTAATGGTTTGACCTATGTTGTATCCACATTGTGACTTTACTGTATAAATTACCCTGACAAAGGGCTTTGGTGGCAACCCACTTCCAGGACCCCACCTGTCCCTGAGGAGGTTTCAGTCAGCCTTTCTTTTTCTTAACCACCATGGTTCCTTGGAATTCATTTGACATCTGGAGACACAAACACAGCACATTTGACATCTAGCAGGTTGGGAGTTATATTACTCCTATATCAAAACTAAAGTTCTATTGTAGACTACAGAAAATTATGTAGTTGCAACTTAATGTGACAGAAGCTGTAACTGGAGAAATTCAGAATGCCACAGAAAAACCAGATTAGACTTGATTATCAGGGATTCTGTCTCAAATAAATAAATCTAATTTCAGTCTTGAAAACTAAAGTGAGAATAGTAAAGCATATTAAAGGAGGACTCTATTCTATGTAAAGAGAAATGTCAACTCAGTGCCCTATAAAAGAAAGTAAAATTGCCCATTCACAGAAGCTAAAAATAGATTATGTCTGAACTGAAGTATAAAAATGTGAAGACAGTTCCATCTCTTCTCATAGATCAAATTAGTGTTCTTCACTTTTTGCTCTAAAAATAACTCTTTTTGAGCCATTGACCAATTATATAATGTAGTTTTCACAAATGCAAACATTGGTTTTAAAATTGCTATTTATACCTTTCTAATGTCCTACTTCATAGTTATTTATAATTATCTTAATATCTCTGCATGAAAGCATAATATCTAGTTATATCAGTGAAAATGAGAGACTTCCAAAAATCTTTTATTCCATAAAAGAAATCTGAAAAATTGATAAAGAAAAAAGATCAGAATCAAATTTTTAAGAACTCTGAGAATTAACTAAAGGTTTAAAAAAAATATATGGAGAATTCTTTCTGGAAAGAAGTCACTGAGTCCCCATACGAGCAGTGAGATTTGTGACACCTTAACTTGTCTTGTTGCAACTTTTCCTTTCTCAGCATCATGGTCTTTGAAGACTAAGAGCCTACAATCACAGAGAAAACCAAAAATCTGACACCAAACAAAAGGGAAAAGAATGGAACTCTTTCAGTATCCCGATACACAGAATTTTTATCATTTCACCTCTCAGTGGTGGTTTTCTGGAAGATTTTAATTGTAAGGTACTTCTATTTTACTAAACCTCAGTTCATTCAATGTGAACAGCCTTTGTTTCCTGAGATGATTATCAAAAACAAACTGATGAAATTGTCTATCAAATAAGGTAAAGAAAAGTGTCTAGAAATGAAAGTTGAAGAATAAGATGGGATAGGGACTTCAGAATCTCTCTCTGACCCTCTCCTCTCTTACCTGTCCTCTGCCTGGCATTATTCATAACAATCAGATTCTTTGTACCCAAGATAAGTCATTCAAACTAGAATCTCTTCCCCCACACATGAGCCATAAAGCTGAGAAAGGTCATCTTCTCCCTTGAAAAATGTCCTTCCAGATGGATCTTGCCTCATGCCTGGAGGCCAGGGATGCTTCATACAGAAGCCAAGGAAAATCTGGACATGTGACTTTGCTGGCCCTCCTCACAGCCTGTCACCATCTGGTCACACATTTCTGTGCAATCACATGTTTACACTGCTGTCCTGTTTCATCAGACCCAAGCCTGAAAACAGATAGCTTTCCCTGGGCCTTTAGGTCTTCATTTCTAAAGGCTTTTATGTGATATAAAACTTTGGTTAAATAAATTTGTTATGTTTTTCTCTTGTTAATCTATCTTTATGTAATAGAAGTCTTCATACCCAATCTTTTTGTGTCTCTTATACCTTTATTTCAAACCACCTTCTCTTTTTCTCTCCATTCCTGGAGGAATCAGCACTCAATGAATCCCGCCTTTCTCTTTCTTAACAATATTCCAGGCATACTCTTAAATGGCCTCATTTTCTTCATTTCATTATGGTATCATTTACATAAAAGTACAATTGAGGTATTCAAAATGTCTGGCGTCAAAGGCCCAGGGTGGGAGGATTTTAATGGTTTATAAAGGAGAGGTACAGAGATAAACTAGTTGGCTCACTCTGGATCTTACAATATGCATCGTAGTGACCAGTTGTACATCACAGGGATCAGCGGAACTGGAACTGTTACCTGGGCAGCTAACAAACAAGCATTCTGGTTGCGTGGGGGTGGGGGTGGGGAGCATTTTCTGTACAATGCCTGAAGAACACGGTAAAGACAGTCAGGCATACTAAGGAAGGACACCGTTCTAAAACATTCTACGTCTTTAGCTTCTTTTCTTTTCCTTAACTGCTCCAGCTAGACCCTCCAACACAATGTTGAACTGGTGAGTAATAAACCTTATTCTCTGTCTAGAAGGAAAATTTCAGGCTGGACTACTAAGCCTGATGTTGCAACAATAAACAGAAACACCAAATGACACCCAGGAGTTTGGAGCAGTCTTATTTTACATCAGTGGGCATTAATCTCTGGTGGACTGGGGCTTATATAAGACAAGCAAGCAGGAAGTACAGAGGTAGAATGCCTTGTCAATTAAGGATTGGCTTATGCCATTAGCATCACAGTGACCAACCATTTCTAAGAGACAGGAACAACCAGAGCAGGAACGAACTATTTTCTGGGCAACTAACAAACTGAAGCATACTGGCTGAGGGGAATAGGGATTTTCTGTTACAATGTTAGCTATAGGTTTTCTAAGAGTTGCCTTGCTAACAAGTCAAAGAAGTTTTCATATGGGTTAATTTGTTTCGTCACAAATTTCCACCCACTCATTACCTTCAGGCAATATTCATTTCTTATCTAAAGAATGTTTGATAGCCTCATGAAAAAAACATGCATTCTCATACTGTTGAGTGAAACTTTCTACATGTGTCAGATAGGCCATACTGGCCCTTAGATTTTCACTCTCTTCCTGCTGATTTTGAGGCAGAAATAGGCATGTTGGAGTCCTAAGGGTGGCCTCCAGCCAATATTGCATAAGAAACTGAATTCTCAATCCAACAGCTGCCAGATTGTAAATTCTGCCAACAATTGAAACTTAGCAGCAAAGTTTTCTCCACCTGAGTCTCAGAAAAGGATAGGATTCTGTTGGACACTGGATCCAACCCTGTGAGGTCACAAAGAGAGGTTCAGCTGCACTATGCCAAGATTCCTGATCCAGAGAAATTGAGATGCACATATAGAGTATTAAGGCAGTCTCCACACCCTGTAAGCTTAGTTTCTTTCTGTGGTATATATTCATCAATCTTTTTAATTTGAACTTGTGTCTTTGAATGTAAAGTGTACCTTGTGTAGGGAGAATATAATGTACATTTTGGTGTCTGCATTCTATGCATCTTAAATCTCTCTTGTTCCTTTACCTTTCCTTTATTGACTTCTTTTGGTTAACAGATTTTTTTTAGTATGTAATTTTAATTCCTGTTTATTTTATTAGTTATATACTTGAAGTTTCTTTGCCCTGGGGATTATAAGCCAAGTCTTTAATTTATTGCAATCTTACCATAATAAATTTTAATACTTAATTCCCATAAACAGCAGTATTGCAAAGCTGCAGATTTCTGTTGCCTCCCTAAACTCAAGTCTGTCTTTTCTGGAAGCAAAGCTGTAGGCCTTGAGAGCAGCTCCAAGCTACTAAAACCCTAAGTGGCAAAAGGGAATGGAAAACCCTAGTGAAGAGACCACAGACGAGACATTCTTACCTAGTAACCTGGGAGTTTTCAGCAAAAGATGCTTTTCGGTTTATTATCTGTCAATACTCAACCATAGATGTTTATTTTTCCCATATTCCCCAGTTTTTGTCCTTTCACATGTATCTGTAAAAGATACATGTGATCTCATGGTAGTACCATAACAGAACCAAGTATCCAAATCTGGTACTTAGTGATGAAAAATTCAACAAATTATGTAACTCAGTTTCTTAGTATACAAGTAAGTAGGCCTAAGGGAGGTGAAAAGAATTCGTTTGTAAACCTATCATTTTATACATATTTATGATAAAAGCTTAAATGTATAAATTAATTAATCATTGTTTTGTGCACAGCTTCTACAGCTGAATAATGGTTAAGCTAATTAGATAATACATCACTTCCCGGATCTTGTGGGTTTCGTGGCCTGCTTTTACGCCCTTGTATGGCCTATATGTAGTTGCTGATATTATTTAAAGCATATTTTTCATTTTTAAAATTAAAGTGACAAGAGGAAAAAAAAAATCAAAACTTTTGATATACAATATCTCCAACAAAGCAGCTCAGCATTATAATGAATATCTAGTCTTTTTACCCAAAAAGTGAATCTCAACAAAATAAGAAGTGACTCGTTTTCTCAAGTTCAATGAGAAAAAGATTCCACTTTAAAAAAAAAAAAAATCATTTTGCTGCAGGATAGTAAGTAAAGTTCCTTTTGGAAATTTGAATACTCCAGGTATCAGTAAACCAAATAAATGCAATTTGCTAAGGAAAAGAAAATATGCAAAAGACAGTGACTACTTCAAATGCAAGGTTTCCTGAAGGGCACCCCACTTGCTCAGGTCCCCCCACCCCAGGGCCACTTGCTCAGAAGGGTGAATGGGTGAGACTACAAACGGTGACTGGAAAAGAATTCCAAAACATTTTGTATCAGAGATAAGCAAGCCAAAGAAGAGGGGGCCAGGCACTGCGGGAGGCCCAGTGAAAGGCTGTATTTGTTACTATGCAGAGCTGTGCAGTGTCACCGAGAATCCACAGCCAACCTGTGGGACAAGAAGCGCTTTGCGGCACATGTTCAGCGAGGGAAGGGTTAGCAGTGGCCGCCCACCCTCGGAAACTCTGTCTAGTGCCACGGGAATGTTCTTGGCCTGCCTGCGGGAGGTAATTCGAGGCCGCTCTGAGGCCGCAGTGTTGCCACTCACAGTAATTACCTGGAAACTCCACAGAATGATAGAGTTTAAAGAAGCTTCCTCTAATGACTAAGTTTTTCCCTGAGAACCTCGCAGGCACTGGAGAAAGGTAGCTTAGCGTGTGTAAACACTGCCAAGGGTGTTTTCGAGTGAGGGTGAAGAGTGAAGTGCCTGGGGTGGGCAGGCGGGAACAGTGAGGGGACTGCAGGACAAGCCCCAAACAGAAACAGAAGAGCCAAAGAAAGGGCGGCAATGCAGGTCAGTGCAGCTGGCCACGAGGAGCCTGGGGAGCCCAGGCAGGGTCCTGTAAATACAACTCACCCAAAAAACTGGGGAATGGAGAGTCAAGCCAACCTCACAGAAACATTGGGAAATCTGAGGAGGGAATCAGGTTTCACCCCAAATGTAGATGTCAGGAGGGGGGAGGTTCCAAAGGCACCAGATCCCAAGGGGAAAACTTGCTTAGTGATGTTGATGGGCCCCAAGTTTCCAAGAGACCCTTTTCTGTACACAGTGCCAAAGATGATGGCAGGCAATACCATGGAACCCTTCTTGTCCAGACCTCCCTGCCACAGTTTCCAGTAGAGCTGAAATTCTCTGTGAAATGCCCCCAGCCTCCAGTTTCGGTGTTTCTGACCCCACCATCTCATTGGGGAATGTGTTACTCATTCTCAGGAGTTTCTTGGAGTATCAACAAACTCTACCCTTACAAATGTGACTCGCCTTGGAAATGATGTGGGAGCCAGGGATCCCCAGGCTCCACGTTATCTGCGGCTCCCAAGGGTGGCCCTGGACTGTGTCCCAGGGCTGAGCAGCGTAGGCAGCCTCCACACAGCGCTGCTGAAATTAAGTCTCATGAAGGCAGCTCTGGCTGGGGGCAGATTCCATTGCCACACCCAGTGACGGCAGCTCCAGTTGGCATGACTTCCCAGGGCCAGTGCGGCACACTGTTCAGTCAGCACCATAACAGTGCCCATGCTGTTTTCTCTTCTGAACCAGTCTTGCTGACAGTTAGATAGGGACAGTTGAGCACCACTGTGAATTTCTGCCACAATGGGACTGGGCTGGGAATTTGGTAGTTCCCCCAGCAACCTGCAACTGATCTTGTCTAGCAGCTTACGCCGTTGCCACATGCACATCCCCTTAGGGTCATCTTGCTTTGAGCTCTAGTCTCTCAGTGTGGGATGCATGTACCTCTCACAAGGAGTTAGCACAGGGAGTATGGATCGTCACTCCCTGGGGTCAGTATCAATGACTATGATTGTGACTGTATAAGAGCTGTGGTTGTGACTTTAATCCAGGCTGTTCATGAGCTACTTAACTTATTAATCAACCTGGCTGGGCCTCAGTTTCCTCAACTAAAAAAAATGTTCATCTCCCAAAATGCAATTACATTTAATGTCAAAGTTAATCGGACAGCAGTGTTGTCTCTGGTTACAGATTCCTGTTCTTCATAGAAAAAAAATGAATCCAAGCAGTTATGAACTCATCGGTATTTTAAATCACATCTCCCCTGAGATTAGAGATTAATGGACAGCCGTGACACTAAGCAGAGTCTCATCTTTTAGGCATTGGGTCAGGAGCTACTGCACCCTGGAAGCTGCTGAGATAACAGCAGTCTGCCTTGTCCCATTCAGCCGCGGTGTCACCCAGGATCTGGAGGAGCCAGGGCTGGGTGCTGATGCAGGGGGGTCTGAAATCGCAGGTGAAGGATCTAGATGGAGAAGCCTCCCAAGAGCAAAGAGCAGCCCAGGATAAGACTGTGCTAGGAGAGAGGCAGAGGACACTCACCATGTGGGTGTCTGCAGAAGAAAGGCACAGTAGTGCCTCCTCTCTGGTTTTTATTGATCTCTTTCCTTGCTATCCATTCCTCTCGTTAAAGCAAGGAAGCCATGCAAGGGTGGAAGCTTTCTTCTTGGATGCGCTAGGACGTGTCTAAACCTTTAGCTCAAAGCCATGCCCAGGAATACTGTGTTGGCCTCTGCCCGGCAAGCAGGGAAGTTTTCAGGAAGTGGCAGCAGAAGTGATTGACTAAAGAATGAGGTCTGTGGTACAGTGAACAGGTGAAAACTGGAAAATTAGGGAAGGACAACAAAATCAGAGGGTGCCAAATGGTAGCTGGCAGGACTTACTTATGATCACAAGCGAGCTACCCACGGGGATGCCCAGCCCTGGTGGAGAGTTAGGTGTTTTCAGGGATATGGAGTCCACAGCAAGCTCTTCTCTGAGGGGCCCTGTGTAGGACCAGGGCCTACGCCAGGCAGAAGGGACAGCCACAGCAGGGCACAGAAGGGCAAGTCCTCTGGCTCACCCCAGGGAGTGCTGCAGCTGCGTGTGGAGTGGGGAGGAAGAGAAGCTTGGAGGAGTGGCATTTTGAACAGTGGGGGCGCTCACACAGATTGTCCCTCAGCTGAGACAGAAACTGCCATGGCTGTGAGTGCAGAGGGATTTGA